TGTTTACCTGGAATTCTGCTAAAAGTATTATGAAAACAAAAACAAAAGATTTTTGACATGAAGCATTTTCCTGGAAATCCCCATCTATGCCGGAATATTACATTCTTTAGCAGACAAAATTGTGCTGCATTAAATTATTATATCATTTTTGAATAATAAATTCTTTCCAAGAAATCTTAGTTATTTAATTTTGAGTTATAACAGAATTATTTAAAAAAAAATCTGTCAAGTCAATAAAGAAAATTTTCATAAACAGCAACAATTTAATTGCAGTGAAAAATCTTTGTTAATTTTGCATAGACAAAAGGGAAAATAAAATCGATGGAGCTAGACGAAAACGAGGAATCAAGTACTTGTGAATAATTTGGCAAAGTCTCTCGCCAAAGACAGCAGCAGGACACATGAAGCTGGTTTCGAAGGCTCACAGTGTGTGTCGCATGTATACGTACATGCATAAGTAAATAGAAACATTCTAATTTATTTTTAATGAATGAAAAACTGAAGGTCTTAACTTGAGCGCAAGCGGGCCAAAAAATTAATTATCGTTGGCAAACAGTGCGAGAGGAAAATCATTGCAAGTGCGCTCTATACAAAAAGTGTGAGATGTATATAAATACTTATATATATGGTTGTCTTTGTATGTTTGTAAGCTGTCTGCTTAGGCCCGCCCGCGTATTTCATTACAGGCGGCGGCACTTGAGCGTTGTTAAGCTAAAAGTAAATTGCTTATTAAAAAGCAGCCTCAGCGTTTACACACACCATAGATAGAAAGTGGGCGGGGTAGTGGGGGTGGGTGGGCAGTGAGCCACTCATTTACACTTCAAGTGGCAGCAAAAGCGAGAATTAAGTGAGTGGGAGCTGCAGACAACACATGAGACGAAGTCTCTGGCAGGGGTTTTGTCTGCCAGAGGTAATGACAAAGCGCCAAGCTGAAGCAGAATGTGGAGCAGGAGCTGGAGCTGGCAGGAATTGTGTGTGTGTGAGAGAGAGAAAGAGAGAGAGAGAGAGAGAGATTGGTGCGCGTTAAGGTCCTTGAAGCAATCGACTTAATGCTCAGCCTGTTGTGTATTTAGTTTGCATTTACATTACACACACTAGCACACACACATACAGACGCAGGCATAAAGAGCTCGAAGGACAACCGCACACATGACTTGCTGCCCCGCTGGAGGGGCGCACATTTAATTTTCTACACATTGTGCCATGTCCTGATAGATTAACTGGGTATCGGCTTTGCCTGCGTGCAAGTATGTGTGTGTGTGTGTGTGTGTGTGTGTGTGTGTGCCAAAGTAAGTTGTGTCCTTGTTACACCAACACACACACACCCACCTAGAGCAGCGTGACTCTGTGCTGCTTGATTGGATGACGGAGACACAGTTCGAAAGTCAAGGTAGCTCGAATTGGGCTCTATCCCTCTCCCCCCCTCTCTCTCTCTCTCTCTCTCTCTCTCTCTCTCCCAATCTCTGTATGCAGCACGCTTCAATGAATTTTTGTCAACGTGATTCGCATTAGAATGTGTATTCAAATGAGTACATAATTTGTTTGTTTGTCTGTGTGCAGTTAGATATGCATAAATATCGAGGCGCTGAGCTGTTCGCATTTTATGAGTGCAATTATGAGAGCATGGGGAGTGTGTCTGCGTATGATTGTAATTGCGATTGTGTGCGTGTGTGTGAGTGTGGGCGTGTGTGTCTTTGAATGCCTTTGATATAAATTTCAAACAAATTGCAAATAAATTGGAGTTGTCTTGGCGTCGCCATTGTCAGCCCAGAGTCTCTTTAGTGTGCTCCACAAGTTATTTAAAATATGTAAATTTGCTGTAGCTCCATAGTCAAGCCACCCTCGCTCTGCATCACTTATATCCTTATTCCCACACACACACACACACACGCATTCGTAACAACCCCACAGCTTTTATTGCTGTTTAGCTTTGTGTCGCCAGTTTAAAGACGATTTTCATCGCTGCTGGGGCTGCCTAAAGTCGCTCAAGAGCACAGGCAATTCATTTGCCTAAGTTTACTAAGCCAACCCCCAAATCACCCGTCTCTCCTCCCTTTGCTCTCCCTCCTTCCCGACAGCCAGAACCAATCATTTAGCATTGCCTGTCAGTTTTTTAATTAAATTCGATTCCAGCTGCTGTCCATATATGAGCCTTGGGCCTTCTCTGCTTTTTCTGCGGTTTGCCCAGCGGCCAGCGCAAGTCAAACTGAATTGATTTAAATGTTGAAACTGTAATATGTTACTTATTTTATTTACACATGCACATGCTGATGCACATGCAGATGCTGATGCAGATGCAGATGGACAGCTGGAGGACATGCGCTTATTGCATGCAGTTGCACTGCCAAGCGGAAACAATAAATATGAATCGTTTCGAGTGTTTATGAATGGCTCGCAGCGAATGCAAATAAGGAAACAACAATGATACGGAAAGGCATTTTATTAAATTGAATTACACAGATATATGAAAGATCGGAGTTTTATTAGTTATTCATCAATCGGTGCAATGAATAAATTTACATGCAGCAGCAGCAAAAAATATAAAGTTTTTTAGCTTTTTTGTTGTTGTTTAATTTGCAAAATATTTGTTGGCATATTCTGTTTATTTATGTGCGTGCCAATAGCATTTCATTTAATTAATATTCATATAAAATAATATAATTGAATTGAATGAAATTTTATTTTTATAATATTTTGTAAAATTTATTTACCACATAAATATATATAAAATTATTATTTTTTTTGTTTTATTTATTTACTTAATAAATTCATTGGATTTCGTACTTGCAATTAAATAAATTGAAATAAAATCAAATATTCGAGAGAGCTGGCTTATAACCTGGCTGAATATTTTTTTCTTTCTTTTTCATTCATTTTTCGCATTTTCTTTAAACTGCTTTCCCGCATGTGAAACATCGTGTAATGATGATGCCTGATGTTCAGCGAGAGACTGAAGCCAAGTTGAGCTGAGGCATTTGCACGATTTATAGTAGAGGCAGGGGCTGCTGCCACGCCCACTGCTGACTGGTACAGCCTGCGAGCCAGCCTGCTTTATTTTCGCGCATTTGCTGTTTATATAAAACAATATTAATAAATTTGCTGGCACTTTAGATGGGAGCGAGCCTTTTGTTGCCATCGCCACTTTGACTTTGACTATTGTCAGGCGAGGCGAGCGCCCCTCCCACACCCGAACAGACTCCTCCGAGTGCTCGAAG